TTCACTTCCTAGTCACGTATCATTTAGAATCTTTTCACATCTCTTAGCTATTTGCACATCTTAGAAAAAAACTGCTCAAATACTTTGCCCTTTTAAAAATTGGGTTTTTTCTCCTATTCAGTAGAAAGAGTTATTTTTGTATTTCAAATACTAGATTCACCAAATATATTATTTTTAAGTAGTTTCTCCCACTTATGTGGGTTGTCTTTTCACTATCTTACTAGTGTTCTTTAATACACAGAAGTTTTTAATTTTGCTTGAGTTAATTGGTTTATTTTTATATTTGTTTTTATCTTTGGTATTATGTATAAGAAACATTGTCAAAGCCACAATCATAAAGATTATCCTCTATGTTGACTTCTAAAAGTTATATAGTTATAACTCTTCCATTTCAGTCTTTTATCAATTTTTATTTCATTTTTATACATGATATGAGGTAGGGATCCAACTCTAACCCTTTGCACATCCAGTTATTCCAGATCCTCCATTGAAGGTGATATTCCTTGCCCTGTTGTCACCTTTCTCAAAAATTAATTGACTATAAACAAATGGGATTATTTCCAGATATTCAATTCTAGCCCATTGGTCTGTTTCTGTTCTGACACCTGTACCACACTGTTTTGATTACTATAATTATACAGTAAATTTTGAACCTCCAACTCCATTCTTTAATTGTTTAAGCTATTCCAGGTCCCTTAAGATTCCATATGAATTCTAAGATTGGGTTTCCAGCTCTGCTGAAAAGGGTATCATGACTTTGATAGGAGTTGTATTGAATCTGTAGATCATTTTGAGGAATATTAATCTTAAAAGTATTATTTGCCAGGGCAAGAACATGAATGGTCATTTCATTCAGTTAGGTCTACTTATCTCCTAGTACTCTTTTTCAGCTTTCACTTACAAGTCTTACAGCTTGATTAAATGTATTCCTATATATTGTGTTCATTTTGAGACTATTAAGCATTGAATTGGTTTTAATTTTCCTTTCAGATTGCTCATTGTTTGTGCACAGAAATATAACTTATTTTTTCATGCTGATCTTGTTTCCTGTAACTCTGCTGAATTCATTAATTAGCTCTAGTTATTTTTGTGGGTTCTCTAGGGTTTTCTATACATAAGATTATGCCACCTACAAATACAGGTAGCCTTCTTATTTTGTTTCCTTTTTCTTGCCTAATCGCACACCTTAATTGCACTGCTCTTTTAAACAGAGGTGGTAAAAGTGGACATCTTTTCTTGTTCCTTATCTTAGGTGAAAAGCTTTCAACCCATCACCACTGAATATGAGGTTAACTGTGGGCTTTTATGTACACCTTATATTTTGTTGCAAAAGGTTTAAACCTAGCTGACTGAACATTTTGTTTGAAAGAGGTAGCGACTTTATGAAATGCTTGTTCTACATGAAAGCAATTTTTTTGTTAATTTTGGACCTAGAGGTCAGCTTTTCCTTTCTCCTTTTCATATTCAGATAACACAAGAAAGAGAACCACTTTCAGTTTCTGCTATGATTGACTTTCATTAATGCCTCCTGAAGTCATGAGTGGAAATTAGGACTAATATTTCACTAAGTTCAGAACTTGTCATGCAGTCAGTCATGTCTGATTGAGGAGCAGGTATGGTTATGGACAATTCCAGCACCCTCAATAAAGAACACCAAGATTCCTGAAGTTTTGTATCTTGCCACCAGAATATAAGAATGAGCATTTCTTTTGACTAGATGAGTTCAACTGTCAAATGGGTCAGGAAACAATTCTCCACTGGACCAACCATACAGACATAGCACAAGAAACTAACAAGAGAAACACAGCCAGAAAATCCTTCATGAAAAGATTGTCTGGAAGTGAAAAAGCAATTTGGATGTAAAGCTTTATAAAATAAGGTGAACAGCTCATACCACTTAAGTGTTTTGGTTATTTTTTCTTCATCCTTTAGTGTAATTTAAAATTGACCTATTTCCAAAATAAGACTTACAATGAAAAAAGAAGATAATGAATAATACAACTAGAGTTAGTTTTTTAAAATTACAGCAAAGGAAGGAAAAAGATACTGCAAAAATTTCTACAATTAAGAATTAAACAGTCAATAAAAAAATAACACTTTATACTTAATAGAATGGCTATAATTTTTTTTTAAATTAAGTGCTGGACAAGGTGAGAAGAAATTGTAACTTTATATATTGCTAGTTAAATGCAAAATAGTGTAACCATTGTAGAAAACAGTTTAGTGGTTCCTCAGTAAGTTAATCATGGCACTGCCAAATAACTCAGCAGTTCAGCTCCAAAGAAAATTAAAAGACTCAGACAGATTCATACCCCCAAGTTCACTTGAAGCATTATTCAGAATAGCTAGAAGTTGTAAACAACCCAAGTGTCCATCAGTGGATGAATGGATAAACAAAATGTGGCTTATACACAAGTTAAAGATTATTTAGACATGAGAGGACTGAAATCCTGATACGTGCTGTAAGGGGAAGAACCTTGACAAAATTGTTCTAAGTGAAAATGGCCAAATTTAGCAGAGGAGACATATTGTACAATCCCAGTTACATGACGTATCTAGCATAGGCAAGACTCATAGAGAAATAAAATGGATTAAAGGTTCTGGGGGCTGAGGAAGAGACAATGGGAGGTTATTGCTTAATGACTGCAGAGTTTCTGCTTGGAGTGAGGAAGGGGTTTGAAAATGATGAAAGTTGTGCACATTATGAATGAAATTAGTGCCACCAAATTGTTTTGTAGACATATTAGAATTAGAGGGATCTTGGAAACTTACATGATATATTATATAATATATATATTATATATTATATATATTCCACGTTAAAATCAAAGATTAAATGTGATGGTAAGCATCTTGACGCTCAAATCTAGAGGGGCTCTGAGTCTAGCATGCTAACAAGTTCAAGACCACTGGCTTTTGTCCCATGAGGATGAGTTTTCTTAAACTAAGGACAGCTCTAGTAACACCATAATCTTAGTCCAAACACCATTCACACCCTTTGATCCTAAGAGTAGTTACAGAAACTATGACTAGCCTGGTGCAAATCATTCACATTAGTAAGGGAACAAGTACTCGAGTAATACGGTGTCTTCACACAGGTCAGTTCATTTTTTTCCCAAATATGTAGTCGAGGAGTTGAGATAATTTAAAAAGCAGCAGAGAAATGAACACTCATGCCCTGGGATTTCTGGGATGACCATATTTTGCATACACTCGGGGAATGGGAGATAGAGGCACCTGCAGTCTCCCATCCCTCTCCTATCTTCGCTGGTTTCAAGTCAGGCATTATCGAGACCTCTTTGGCAATTTCAACTAACCTGGCCAGTTTATCAAAACGTTTCTTCTTCCCCATTGACCCTGCCTAAGTGCAAGCTCCCTTCACTTCCCCGTGGATCAGTGTTGTATTAAATACTTTTGATAAATTGAATTTTAAAGGCAAAAGCTTGCCTAAAGGAAGAGTATCCAGAGCCACATCTTTCTGTAAAGCCCAGAAAATGTTCAGACTTTGCAGGGTAAAAAGTGTGTGACTGAAATGCGTTGGAATCAGAAATCGTGTCATGGTTTATATCTAGATGTTCCCCCGAGGCCTCATGCGCTCTTCAGAGAGATTTTTGAAAGGCAACTGGGTTAGGGGTTGGTGTAGCTAGCTGGCTGGGGTATAGTTGGAAGAGGTGGTCACCAAGGGTATAACGTAGAATGGCACAGCTACCTTCCTGACTGCTCCCTTCTCTCGTTGCTTCTCTGCTGCCATGACATGAGCAATTTCCCACCACTGTGCCCTTCTGTCATACCGTTCTGCCTTGGATCTAGCCAACCATGGACTGTAGCCATGGGGCAAAATACAGCTCCTCTCCTTTAAATTGCAGGTGTCTGATATTTTGTTCCAGTGACTAGGAAAGTTACTAAAACAGTAAGGATCAAAGAAACTCTGAGGAAGAGGCTCTATCCTATGTAACCCAAAGAAATCATATTCCAAAAAAGATCAGTACCAAAGAGGACAGGCAGGAGAAAGCAAGGGTGCAGAGACAGAGCCAGGCTAGCTGGAGTGATCTACGGGAGTTGAAAGTACTATTCCCTTCTTCCAAACTACAGTTGCAGGTCAGTACACTAGGGAAATAGGAACTTCCAAGATGTGCCCCCTCTCTCCTCCCCTCCCACCTCCACCATATCTGTAGAATTTGAATTAATTTCAGAAACCTTCCAGGGAGGGAATGAAAGTCTAGGGTTTCCCAAAATTAGAATATCTTTTGCCCCAGAATCTTAGAAAAAAATGGGGTTTTCATCTCAAGAGTGTGAAACAGGATAGAGAGTAAGGGATTTTTCTAAAACCCTATATTTAAAGCCATCCCTTTTTTAGAAATATTTCGTGCTTTCTTTAAAACCTTAAAGCCACAATTCACCACCAGCAACACACATTGAGAGGATATTTCTTTATGGCACTTTATATTCATCCTATAAAGATATAAATGAAGCTTACCAAGGATCATTTTATCTTACTCTTTTTTTAATCTATATATCTCTTGATGATGAACTTTCTGTTTCCAAATGGCATATGTCCAACTGAGTTTTCTTGCCTTGGAATTCTTTAATTCATGTTTTTGAAGGCATTTTTCTCATTCGCTTCTCTGGAGTTGGAAATTTTATCTGTTGGTCTTTCTAGGTCTGGTGTTTCCATTACAACATCTGGAGCTAAATTTCCTGGTCCTTGGTACCCTGAATCCGAGTAGCAGCAATCTGGGTGCAGGGCAGATGTGGGTAATTCTCAGAGCTCTTTCAGCCGTCTTTCCCAACATTACCTCCTGTGAGCAGCTGAACATGCAGAAATGCCCAGCTGAGACACATACTCCGTGCACTCCCTCTGCCCACCTTGTTCTGCTTCTGTCACCCGTACTGATGAGGATGCCCAACAGGTGGCAATTGAGCCCCTCAGGAATACAGTGAACACAGCGTGAAAGCAGGCAGGGCCCTCAGCTGCCAGCGATCCATCCTGGGCTCTGTTTGTGCAGGGTCCTGGTGACAGGCGGATGGTCTTCTTTATCATCATTCCTTGTGGAAAACTTGGTTCTTGGCCAAAGGTCTTTGTTATTGGTTTTTAATAAGAAAGGAGATGTGTTGAAGAGCTGAGGTTTGAATTCATGAAAATTTTAAAAAATGAAAATAAAACACTACCTTTGGTTAAGTAAAAGGGAGCAGCTAGGAAAATGGAGGGGGAGGGAGCTCATCTGCTAATTAGAACTCAGAGAGTAGTTGGAGGAACAATTACTCTAAGGAACTATCTATCCACATACTCCTGCAAAGAAGTTAGCTTCAACACCCACACAGTAGGAAAAACAAATGCCAAGTATGCCTAGATGTTTCCTTGAACATGTTTTCTCTTTCCATCTCCATCTGATCACTAACATAACTTTGATAGTGGGTTGGAGGTAAGCCTGTTGCTTATCTGGATAAATTATTTCCACCCACTTTTATTCCAAAGCAAATCTACAGCAGTGAGGAGGCTGGGGCCAGCATCAAGCCCAAAGCAGTTTCCTAAGAAAAAAATTATCTGGATGGTTGGGTATGCATAATAGTCTATAACACAGAATAATAGTTTATAGCACCAACAAAGACTATGCTTTTAATTGTTAGATTTCAATGGAAATATCATTGAAAGAATGTGGTTAAAATAATTGCACAAAGGCAGATGATGACATGGCATATGTCAATGGAGAGAGGATCTAAATCTAAATGTAGCCAGGGAATCAGCTCAGTGGTTCCACTGCCTGCCTTGCAAATGCAAGGACCTGAGTTCAATCCCCAGTACCAAAAATAAATAAATAAATAAACAAACAAATCTAAATGTATTTCCAACTATAAATATAATAACATACCTGGCTGAGACTAGACAACCTGATTTTTTCTTGGATGCTTCTAAGTGTTGAAGTTTTGGTACTTATGCAATGATGAGTGACGTTGCTATAAGCAACCATGTGCATGTTTTGTATGGACATAAACTTTCTTTTCTTTTGTTTCTACGTGAGTTTGGAAAACCCCGATGGAGACGAGTAGCAGGTGATGAAAAGGCATGGCCATTTGCAAGCTGCAAGCAGCCTTTCAGTTTCTCTGAAGGTGGATGGCTGACTTGCACCTTTGATAGCTGGCAATCTGAGCCTTTTGGGTTTCCCAAGGTAAAGCATCTATCTTTTTTTGAAATGCCTACAAAGTAAGTTAGTCAGCCTGCCTGTAAGGAGCATTTCACTGAGTATAGCATGATTCTCTGCTGACCACGTTCCCTTTAGGTGGAATTCTTCTCTAAAGGGAACATAAAGACTGTCTTAGTCCTGAAAATGTTATATTTGTTCTTAAGGTGTGTGTGTGTGTGTGTGTGTGTTTGTGTGTGTTTCTGTGTGTGTGTGTGCATGTGCATGTGTGTGTGCGTGTGCGTGTGTGTTTATATGTAGATGTGTATGGCAAAATGACTAACTCTGACTGTGAAAGGTGTCTTCTTGGGGATCTGGATATTGCTCAGGACAGGGAAGGGACTAAGGCACAGCCCGAGGAGAATCCTTTGTTTCTAATGGGAGTACAAGACACTCCAGAAATGGCTCTGGTGTAAGAGATTGAGGCTGAAACCCCTGAGATGAGAGAAAACTCTAAGAACCAAAAAATGGCTGACCATTTCAGTTGTAGTGATATGAAACAGCCATATCCAGCCCTAGTGGTTTTCTCTCTATGATGCCTTGTAGAAGAGATTTATATTTACATGAGGAACTAATATGAGGAGAAATTTCAATGCTGCTGATCCCTCTCTGAGAGGCTGCAGAAGGAGAATTAATAGGACTAAGACTTCTGTGGCCAAAAAGGACAGGAGAGAGGGGACATGTCAGTTGGAGACACTTGAATTAACTAGATCTCTGATTCTCCAAAGGGGCAATTCTTCCCCACAGGAGACAGTGTTGTGTCTAGAGACATGTTTAGTTGTCATAGCATGAAGGTAGCCACTAGCATGTGGTAGGTAGAGGCCAAAGATGGGGCACACAACAGCTCACAAAATGAAGAAGTACCTAGTCCAAAATGTGAATAGTGCTAAGGTTGAATAAGCCCCGGGTGAATGGTGGCTTGGGAATGCTCGGCCTGTACCCTTAGGTAGCCTGCCGTCTAATAGAGAGGCAGAAACACGTCCCCCAGTGCTGACTTCAAGGTATAGCTAGGTCTGGTGCTGTGGCAGGTGGAGGGATTAGGACCAGCTTCCCAAAGGATATAGCTCTTGGCCTGAGACTTCATGAACTAGGAAAAGGACTTGATAAAACAATATTAAAAATCACCTGGAAGACTACTGAAGAACAATAATATCAAACAATGAATGGTTTTTAATAACAGCACAAAAGATAACCATGGGAGATACGTGGAAATACTAAAGAGAAATGAAAGGACAGGCTGAATAAAAGTGATAGAATGTTCAACTTGCTTTTCAAAATATGAGAAATTGACAAGCCAGAAATGAGTACATTATCATTCAATCTTGGGCACTTCTTCATCACTGTCTGCCAGTGGTTTTGTTTTATTTTGTTCCTAATTTGCCTCCGAGCTTTTGTTCACCCTCTTCCTCCTGCTGTGCATGCCTGCTTTCCCCTCTCCCTCACTTGTTAGTGAAAACGGTTCCCATATTTAAGCTGCCTTCCACAAGAGGCCTTCTCTGCTCTTCCCCATCAGGGGTGATCTTGCTGTCCAGCCAAGACCAGCAACCCTTGTTTGTACTCTCAGTCTGCTGTTCGCAGATTTTGCTGCACTATAGTCATTACAGAAACAGCATGGTCTTTAGCAGGTGAAAATCTACCAGGACTAGGACAGCATTACTTACATCTGGGTAGCACCATGGTGTCCTGCGCCCAGGAATCAGGCTGAGCCTCCATGGACTAGACTGCACACAGTATGCCGGTGAGAAGGCTGGATCGCTGTCTCCGATTACACACAACAGTGGCTACAGGGGAGCAAAGAATTACATTGACAATCTAGTCACAAATTTTAATAGTGGGAATAGGAAGCAGGAAAGCAATTTGTCATCACCAAGTACATTGGAGACATTGATGGAAACAAGATCAGTTTGTTCTATTATACAACAGAAAAATGTATTCGACAAAATATAGAATAAATGCAAACAAAGAAGAAATCAAAGAGAAAACCAAAAAAGAAAGAACTAACAAAAAGTGATAAATACTGTCTTGGTTACTTTTCTCATTTCTGAGACATAATACCTGACACCCACAAATTAAAAGAGGAAAGGTTTATTTCAGCTCACAGTTCAGAGAGGCTTCAGTTCTTTGTTGTCTGGCTGCAAGGCAGGGCAGCATGGTAGAGGTGCATCGCAGAGGAGAAACAGTCCATGGAGGACAGAAAGGAAGCAGCAGGCAGCATCAGCAAACCTCCTTTTCCCTTTGTCCTATCCAGGCTATAAGCATTTTGTTGAAGCCACCCACACCCAGGGGTCTTCCAATTATCTGCACCCAGAACTGTGCTGAACCAATGAATGCATTAATCCAGTGCCACACACCCTCATCCCAGTATCACACACCCATTATCCAGCCACATCCAAAGAGCCCCACCTATGAGCACATGGGGCTTAGCGGGGACATCTAGATACAAGCCATAACAAGTATGAATATTGTTGTAAATATGCTTTGGAAGTACATAAATATCGATAAATATGCATAAAATCTGTAACTAGATTTTTTAAAAGTGTAAGAACAACTTCTATCAAAGAAGACATAGATAATAAGTCATCATGTTGGAAAATTTAAGCCCATTTAGTCATTAAAGAATTTCAAATTAAAACAATATTAAATATATCACTATACACCAATTAAACATCTTTAATGATTAAAAGTTGATTTACCAGGCTGTCAGTCTCTGTCTCTTATTTCTTCAACACCAGAGCTAAAAAGAACAATGAACCTATTAGATCTCTCAGAAGTGTACTTTGCAAATATGCAAAAGAATAATCATACCGCCCCTACACTTTAGCTCCATTATTAAATCTTGGAGAACATGTATCATGGAAACAATGCCAGGAGGGGAAAATTCTAATTGTGATTTTAATTGAAATTTTAAAAATCAATGCATTGAGTGCCTGCCTGTCAAGCATTGTTCGGGGTCTGAAATTTTATCCTCCTTTCAAGCTGAGCACTCCTACTGTTTCACAGACCGGCAGAGGACATGAGACTCCTGGGGTAGAGGACAAGGGCTTTGTTCCTCTGGGCCAGGCTACTGCCAGAGCTTTGTGTTTGTTCTCACTGGCTCCCCCAATTTCCCAAGACCTGTGAGGATAAGAGAAAGGGCCCTTGCTGGATTCCTGCACAGGCTGAGGCTGTGTCAGAGAAAAGAACTGAGCTTTGGATTCACCACTTCAGCCATGGGTGGAGTAAGCCTGCCCTTTGTCCAGGAGAAATGCAACCATCCTTTAAGGGTGCCTGCCACAAACAGAGCTCTGAGAAGTGGTCTGGGCAATGAACACTCAGGGCCTTGCATTCTTGGCATGAGCAACAAGAATGTGCAGAGATGCTCAGGCCCACGGATTACCTCTCCCAACAACCCCTCATTCATTCACTCATGAATTCATTCAACAAACTCAGATATTACCTACTCTGTACCTGACTCAGTGCTAGAGACTAAAAATACTGCAGAGAAAAAATTCTCTGCACAAGAAGGACTTACATGTTAGGGAGAAGGCAGATAATGGAAAGGAAATGGAATAGATAACGTGATGTTACTTCTGTGGGACACCGTGAAGAGAACGTAGAGCACCTTTAGGTAGAGCGATAGATTGGTCCTAGAGCCAATAGGGAAGGCCTGGCTGTCTGAGATGGTGACCGCAGAGCAGAGACCCCAATGAACTCAGAGAAGGAGCCACACCTGTGTGAGAAAAGATCACCCAGGCACAGGTAATGGCACTATGGCCTTGGGAGGGGAACAAACATCACGTCCAAGGGAGCAAGAGTCCAGTGTGGCTAGACTGCATTTAGCAGAGAGATTGTGGTCAGGAGATAAAGGAAGAGGAGCCCAAGATTTGAAATTGAGATACAGTAGAGTTATCTAAAGGACAGATATGTGGACTTTTATGTTAAAATATTCACAAAAAATAGTTCTATGGAAGCAGTCATACCAAACTCCCATCTATTATGTGGAAGGCAGATTGGTGTCATGGACAAAGGGGGATTTGAGGTCCGGACAGCTGAGTCCCAACAAATAAGGTAAATGTGTTGGTCAGCTCGAGTTACTGTAGCAAGTGCCATGGATTGGATGGCTTGAAATTTGGGCATTTAGTTCAGACAGTTCTGGAGGCTGGAATTCCCAGATCAAGGTGCTGGCTCTCCTGAGGATCCTCTTCCTGGATAATGGGCAGAAGCACTAAGACACTAACCCTGTTGGATCAGGGTTCTACCCTTGAGATGTCATTTGACCCCTTGATAGATCCTCCTAAATACAGACACATTGGGAGTTAGGGATTTAAACCAAGAATCTTGACAAGAAAGTGATACAACAGTCCAAAGAACAAGATGGCAAATCTCTCCATTACTTTTCTTTTTTGTTTTTGTTTTTTTGAGACAGGATCTTGCAAAGTAGTTAAGGCTGTTCTTGAACTTCCTGTGTAGCCCAGACTGGCTTCAAACTTGTGGCAATCCTCCTGCCTCAGCCTCCCAAGTGCTGGGATTTGCAGGCACGTGCCACCATGCCTAGCTAGCCATTTTTCACCTGCAATTGGGAATGGTGCCTAAAAAGGTCACTGGTAAGTTCAATAAATATGTTTTAAAAATGTGTTTCATTATTATGTGTCAGAGATTAAAGCTATGTTAAAAACCATCCACACAGATCAGAAGAGAACTGCGTCTAAGATCTCATCTAGGAGTTAAAAAAGAGTAGAAGTGGTCATCATAATTTTCTGAACACTTTGTGCTACCAGCTTTATCTAACTTTAGTTATAACAATCTTTTGATAAGTATTCTTATCCCCATTTTTTATCTTATTGAGTTGATTGGTACTTTCTAAGTATACAGTACAGTTGTATTCATGATTAGGATCTTGTACCCTTACATGACAGATCTTGGTTCTCATTTTTTCCCCATACCCTGCCCTCCTTTCACCCCCTCTAACCTCCCCTATTTACAAAGACTTTATTTTCATTTTTTTCCTTTTCTCATATTTTTTTCTTGTCTCTTATTTCCTCTCCTCTACCCTTCCCACTTCCCCTACACCTTTAGCTTTCACCCCCTCTAACCTCCCCTATTTACAAAGACTTTATTTTCATTTTTTTCCTTTTCTCATATTTTTTTCTTGTCTCTTATTTCCTTTCCTCTACCCTTCCCACTTCCCCTACACCTTTAGCCCTTTTCTTCCTATTTCACATTGTCAGTTATACCTTTAGGATCTTATGTACTATTATAGTTTCACACACCAGAGAAACTATTCAGTATTTACACATGTGTCTTATTTATTTCACTTAAGAGTATGGCCTCAATATGCATCCATTTTCCTATGAATTACTGTAGTTTCTCATTCTTATGGCTGAGTAGAACTCCATTTTATAGAAAAACCACATCTTCTTTATCCAGTCTCCAGTTGATGGCCAAATGGGCTGTTTCCAAGTTTAGCCGTTACAAATTATGCTGCTATAAACATGGGTGTGCATATATCAGTGTGGTATGATTATTTTAATTCTTTTGGAAAGATACCCAGCAGAGGGATGCCTGGGTCAAATTCTTATCCCCATTTTTAAGATGAAAAGATTATCTAAGAAAGCCTGAGTTGTCCAGTCTCCCAATGATAAATGGTGTGATATAAAAAGTATGGCTATGAAAAGAATGAAGGGAAGTTAGCAACATAAAAATGGGTCCTGGGCATGAAACTGTAAGTGAAGGAAGCAAAGCCAGAGAACCAAAGCATGGCATGTGTCTGGGGCAAAAGTGTGTCTGTTTTCAATGTTTTTTGTTCTTGCTACCACGTTTGTTCAATAGAATGGGGAGAATATCACTGTGAAAGTATTTCAACGACTAGTTTCCACTTTCTTCTAAAGGCTTCTCTTTGTTAATCTTCCCCATTCCAGCTTTTTCCTGGCGCGTTGTAGCCCTGCTGCTCCAGCACTAATACCCTGCACGTTTGTTATGTTCTTCTCCTGCCCTCAAGACGCTAGCCATTGTCAGTCCCGCCAGGATTGGAGGTCCAGCCCCTGTGTAATGTGTCCTAAAAAACGTTGCCAGTAAGTTCCATACGTGTGTAAAAGAAAGTGCTTTGTTATTATAAATGTAAAATGTGTTCCTTTCTTCCACCAGTACAATTTCCACAGCTTCCTCCTCCCCAAGAAGCCTTCCCTGATCCATACATCCCCAGCTCTTATCTTGGGATGGTGCCCAATTTCTGACATTTCATCATCACTTGAAGCTAAAGCCTACTGCAAGTCCGAGTCCCTTTACTTGGGCTCCTTTACGTATTGCTCTTAAGTCCCGCGAGTGTGCTGTCCTGTGTGAATGTCAGCAAGAACTGCCACATAAGGCACCAAGTGGAGAGTGCCGGCTTGTGAGCGACTGAGGACGGGAGGACAAAGAGGAGCGGGTCTTGGAGCACAGCCCCAGCTGCAGGACGAGACTGCCCAGGTGCGGTAGGGCTCCTGGGAGAGCAAAGGAAGAAAACGCCTGCACCTGCTTCAGCCTAAGCGTCTCTCTGGACCTGTCCTTCCTGGGAGCTCACTTTCAGGTGCAGGCCCTACCCCAGCACCAAGCCAACCACGCGGCAGGCAAGGGAAGGGGCAGTGGGGGTTTCGTGTTCTTTGTTTCTATTCTACTCCTACAAAGAGGTAATGCATCGTTACATGGATTACACTGTGATTAAACTATTAGTGTACTGTGGTACTGAAAATGGGGGGAGAGGGTGTGCACAGGGTCATAAGAAGTTCGCCTGTTTTCTACCTTTGCCCAAGGGTGAATAAAAATAAATCCTGGGGCTAGCAGTGGAGAACTTACTTGCCTAGAATATCAAAGCCCTGGGTTTAACCCCAGCATCCCGAAAACAAAAACAAAATTACTATGCTTGAACTTGGATGGCATAGTTAGGAATATTACAAGCCCAAAAGGGGGTGAGAAGTTCAGGTACACTGGGGGTGAAGATTTAATTTGGCAAAAAACAGGGACAATGTCTCTCTTCAGGTCTCTGCCACACCGCTCCGAAGCCAGGAAGGGAACTCGAGGCTCCGCGGAGCGCTGGGCTCGCGGCACATGGGCTGCCAAGGGTGGAACTGGGTTTAGGAGCTCTCCATGTACCCCAGTCCCCAGCTCTCCTGTTTTTCACTCTGGAGCAAAACGGGATTCCAGGAAACCAGAACGCCTTTGCCGGGACTGCGCTCTCAAGCTCTAACCGAGTCACTAGGCAGCTGCGCAGAGGTGGTGCCTACGGAATTCCTACAGCCTCTCGGAGAGACCCAGCAGTCAGGATCTCGTCCCGCCGTCCGGGGCGTGGGGGCCTGCGGGGACACAGTTGCAGGCCCGACTTCTATTGGTGGGTTCCGCAAACTGCACCCCCCACTCCAGCCCACCAGGTGCAGCTCAGCTTCAGCAGCTGCGGTCGCCCGCCTGGGAGCTGCGCTCCGGGACCCCCAGCGAGGCGGGAGGGCGTAGTGCGCCGAGCGGAGCTGGACAGCACGGAGCCCTTCTTTTTTCTCCACTGGAAAAGAGGGTCCAGGAGGACTCCAGGCAGAAGCGCCAAAGGAAGGCTGCAACCCAAAAGGGAGCAGGGTAGGGTCACCTAGACCTTCTTTAGTCCTTCCCTGGGACCCAGGGTTTCCTCTGCACCCCCACCCGCCCAGTCCACGCCGAGGTCTCGGACCACGCTCAAGTCCCCTACTCAGCAGTCCCGAGAAAAGGCGCCATGGAAGCCCGGAGCCTCTCGACGGCCACCCCGGGCGCAACCCTTCTCGAGGACCGGGACACCTGCAGCCCAACCCCGGGCAGCGGCGTCGGGTCCACCCCGGAGAGCGCGGGCTTCCTGCCTGGCCGGGAGCCGCCCTACTCCGTCTTCACGGTGCTAGTGGTGACTCTGCTGGTGCTGCTGATCGCCGCCACTTTCCTGTGGAATCTGCTGGTCCTGGTCACCATCCTGCGCGTCCGCGCCTTCCATCGCGTGCCTCATAACTTGGTGGCCTCGACAGCCGTTTCGGACGTCCTAGTGGCAGCACTGGTGATGCCTCTGAGCCTGATGAAGGAGCTGTCGGCCGGGAGACGATGGCAGCTGGGCCGGAGCCTCTGCCACGTGTGGATCTGCTTCGACGTGCTGTGCTGCACCGCCAGCATCTGGAACGTGGCGGCCATCGCCCTGGACCGCTACTGGACCATCACGCGTCACCTGCAGTACACGCTGCCCACCCGCCGCCGCGCCTCGGGACTCATGATCGCGCTCACCTGGGCGCTCTCGGCCCTCATCGCCCTGGCGCCGCCGCTCTTCGGCTGGGGCGAGGTGTACGACCCCGGGCTCCAGCGCTGCCAGGTGAGCCAGGAACCCTCCTACACGGTCTTCTCCACCTGCGGCGCCTTCTACCTGCCTCTCGGCGTGGTGCTGTTTGTCTACTGGAAGATCTACAAAGCGGCCAAGTTTCGCTTCGGCCGCCGGCGCCGGGCTGTGCTGCCATTACCCGCGACCGCAGAGGTGAGGAAAGGGCTGTGGCCTTGGGGACCAGGGATCCTGGGGGAAGAGGGCGTGGGCGAAGGGAGGGTGGATAGGAGCCTGCACATCTGAGGCGCGCCGGCGCCTGTCGGCAGCCAACGCATCTGTAGCGCGCGAGGGGTTGGCGTCTGTTCTTTGGAGCAGCAGGGGTGCGCGCTGGAGGGAGAAGAAAGAAATTAAGGCCGAGCTGACATCGCAGCCCCAGGACGCTGCAGAGGGTGGAGTGCAGCTCTCCTCCACAGTGATGCGGTCACGTCTAATTAGTACGCTCTTAGTTTAATTTCCTCTGGAGTGGTGGTGTCGGGGTCCGTCTTGAGCCTCTAACTTTTTGGGCTCGGCTGGCCATGCGGGACCGTGGGGGCTGGAGTTCTTCCCGCTTCAGACGAAGAGATTCCCATGGCCATTCGCCCTTTATTTCATCGCCTCCGCTCGACTCTGGTCCGGAGCCCAAATTCCCCAACTCTGCTGGCCAGCTCCCTGCTGAGGGGAGAAGTGTGGGCATCACAAAATAATCCGAGTGTACTTTTCCTTTGGTTATCCTGACCCCAGCACTGTCCCCTAGCGATTTCGGAAATAGAACCTTCCAATCCCATGTTATGACAGTTAAACAGTAGCTTAATTTCTGCGTGTCTCTTTTCCTCATCTTTAAGCAGGTCAGTTGGTACTTTCATAAAGCTCTTGGTGAGGATTACCAGAAATGAAAGGATGTAAAAAAAGCACTCAGCACATCTGCCGCACAGTGGCAGAACTGGCTGGAGAAAGAGGACCAACAGGAAGTTTGTCGCTTGGCAATCTGTAAGGGGAGGGAAGTCCCCACCGGAAGGATAATGAGAAGAAGGAAACTACATTTGATCTTTTCTCACCGTGGTCATTATTCAGCATGGAGATTTCTGCCTTTTGGCCTGACTCATCACCCTGAGAATCTAAACTTTCCCAGAGTCCCAGGTATTTAAAGTATCAAGTTCCTAGACTTAGACAGTAATGAAGTTTACTTACTGGCCCTTTCCAAATACAATATATAGACGAGGGAAGGTGTGCAGAAGGGATGGGGAGCAGGACAAGTTTTTTCTTGTCAGTTTCAATTTTTGAAAATTAACCCAATGCTTAGATTTCCGAGTATGGAGCTTTAAAGAGTAGGGTCTTTGTCATTCAATGGTAGAGGAAATTTGTAACATAGCATAGGAATGTCAAGACTATAATTGGAAAGTTTTGGAAGAGAGTTTTATTCAGAATGAATGATGTTCTTTGAGAGGCCCCTTGGAAAAACTTGGAACAATTACAGGTTTTCTGTCGGATTGCTGAGGTAGAGTTGACTTCAATAGCTACATCAATCCAATGTGTTTCCAGGATGGCGCTGGGATGCTGGGACGGCGCGCCAGGCCTAATCACAGTGCTCAGACCCCATTCAGGCAGGCGGCATAGGATGAGCTGAGTGAACAGGCAGGCTGGCCGGGCTGGGGCAGCTGTCAGTGGGGAGAAAGAGCTCCCAGAGGCAGGGACCCAGGGGTATCAGTGGGACCTCGGCAAGTCCTTTCCCACTTTGGGCCTCCACTGCCGCTGTCTGCGGCATTGTTCTGCTGTGTCTAAGAGTTTTGAGTCATAGCACGCTGAGGGTGTACCTGAGATAGTGTCCTAGTGTATCTGAATTTTGGGGCTCCAGTGTGCTCTCAAAATCCTGAGTAATATTCCTGAGCCAGCATTTGCAAGCCCTCTAGCTACTAGACACCCAAACAGACGTTTCAAATAATGTGCCAGGAATACTATTTCTGTAACTCCCCCCTCCACTTCTCTTTCCTATACTTCAGGGGGAAATGAGCTGAATTTAAGTGCTACAAAGTGTCTGTGACAGAAGCCTGTGCTGATCCATATTTTCAGAAAGGAACGTGCAACAACTCCTAGACAGGGATTAATTCTTTTGGACAAAACACACTTTTTGAAAGCAGAATCCTTTGCCTTTTAAAATGCGATATCAAATGTTTTTGGTTGTGTGGCTTTTTATTCATCTTTTCAATTGCTTGTTTTATTTCTGTTCATAAATTGACACTAGGGGCTACTTATCCATCTACACAGTAGATTTATTGCCCAGAGTCAAAGATCTATTTTACAGTGTCGTGGAAAGTGTTGATTTTACTTCTTTTAAAAATAGAGGAAGATGGGCTGGGATATAGCTTAGTGGCACTGCACTTGCCTGGTAACTGCAAGGTTCTGAGTTAGATCCTGGTACCAGAAAAGAAAAGTTAGAGGGAAATCAACATAATAATAAAGAGTATATAATAACGAATCTATCCATGGTTTTGCCGCTTTTTTACTAATATGGTCATACAATAAATTTGTAAAAGTTTTAATGGAGGAAGGGGTGGGCCCTCAGCAAAGGAAACAGGAAGCATCCTTGGTAGATAAGCTTCACACAGTCTCAATGAGCAAACACGTATCAGGAGAGAGCGTGAACTGTGGTTTAAAGCATAAGATTTGTTAAGAAGGAGACCAGGGTTTTCATTCATTTTGTGCCGTTCATTAGCACATTAGCAAAAAATGACTTATTTGTGTTTCCCCATATGTAGAATGAAAATATCATCTGCCTCATTCTATTCTTGTGGAGAGTAAATAAGATAGTACATGGAGCACTTCAGATAGTAAGTGGTAAATTGCCCCAAAGTTTAGTGTCTTAAAACAATAAACACATGTTAGCTCACACTTTCTGGGAATGGCCTAGCTGAGTAGTTCTGGCCTGAGTCTCATAGTGTAGTCATGATATCTGATGGGCTGATGCCACTGGAGGGCAAAGATGTGGAAGACTTTCCTTCCATGATGGCTTGTAAACATGGTTCTGGGCAGGTGGCCTCATTTTCATGCTGAAAGGACATCTTCATAGCGCTGCTTGAAGGTTATCATAATATGGCAGCTAGCTTTCTTCAGAATGAGCAATCCAGATGAACAAAGCAAAGAGGAAACTGCAGTGTCTGTCATGAGCTAGTCTTAGAAACAAAAAGACTCTAGTCTTAGACTCTTAGACTGGTAAGTGCAAGGTTCTGAGTTAGATCCTGGTACCAGAAAAGAAAAGTCTTAGAAACAAAAGAGTCTAGTTTCCTAATACCCTCTTCAAGGGTACACCCTTAACAATATAGTTTCCTTTCCATAACTTTGCCCCAAACTTCAAAACTTCTGAGTAAGTACCACTTTCTGAGCACCAACACTTTGACAAATGGGCTTTTGGGGATGTCCAAGATCCAAACTGTAGCATAAGAGTAAAGAAACATACTAACTTTTGCTGATTTTGTATCCTGAGTGTATGTAGCCCAGTGGTAGAGCATTTGCCTCGCACTGAAAAAATTAGCATGGTGTCGAGACAGTTTCACATCTTTCTTTCCTATTAATCTACTTTTTGTTTCTTTTTCTTGCTTAATTGCTCTAGTTAATCCAGTACTATCTTTATTTGAAGTGGCAAGAGTTGGTATCCTCCTTCTGTTATTTATCTCAAAGGAAAGCTTTCAACTTTTTACCATTCAGCATGATGGTATCAGTGGGTGTATCATTGTATTGAGGTATATTCCTCTATATATAAGTTATTGAGAGATTTTCCAGCTTTTATGTGTAATTTTATTTTCAACTTACAAAATTGTATATGTTAATGAGGTATCATGCAGTGTCCAATACATGTACACACTGCATAATAGTTAAGTTGAGTTGATATATATTTATCTCCGCCAACACTTATGAATTCTTCATGGAGAAAACTCAAGCATAACTTCTTCTAGCTTTTTGAAATACACAGTATTTTATTGTTATATATAGTTATCTTTCTTGGCAATAGCGCACCAGAGCTTCTTGCTCCTGTGTGACTCTAATTTAGTACACATTGGCCAATCCTTCTTCCAGCCCTCCCACCACCCCAAGCCTAGGTAACCATCATTCCCTTCTCAATGGATAGGAGGTGAACTCTTTTTGATTCCACATATGACTGAAGTGAATCATACAGAACTTATCTTTATTTCACTTGATATAATGATCTCCAGTTCCATGTGTGTGTGTTTAAATTACAGGATTTCATTGTTTCTGTAGCTGAATAGCATTCCCTTGTACAGGCTTTGGCTTGAAGTCCATTTTGCCTGAAATTAGGATAGCTACTCCTTTTTTTAGGGCTCTCATTGCATAGAGTATTATTTTCAATTTCATCGTCTCTCTTTCAGTCTCTGTGTTTCTTTGTGAATGAGGTGTGTCTCTTGCAAGCAATATACAGATGCATTTTGGATTGTTTTGATCCAATCTGCTCTTTGTGCCTTTTGGTTGGGGAGTTAAGACTATTACACTGAGTGTTATTATTGGCACATATTTACATATTCCTGTTATTTTCTTATTCAGTGTTGATTCCTATTTTCCTTTTGTTTAATTACTCTCCTAGTTAGGTATATTCTTTCCTTTAGGTTCTTGGGTAATGCTAGCCTCACTATCTCTATTTAGAATTCCCTCTAGTATTTTCCACAATGCTGGTTTAGTGGCCATGAATTTATTTAGATTCTCTTTGTCAAGGATTTTTTTATTTCTCCATTAATTTTGAAAGTCAATTTTGCAGGATAAAATAGTTCGGGTTGTTGATTGTTCTATTTAAGGGCTTGAAATAGTTTACTCCTAGATCTCCTGGCCTTTAATGTTTTTGTTGAGAAATCTTTGGTCATTCTGGTAGGCTTCCCTAGTTACTTGACATTTTTTCTCTAATTATTTTTCATGTTCTTTCTTTGTTCTAGATTTGTAGGACCTTGACTATGTTTTTTCACAGAGAGCTTCTTTTGGTTGTGCCTATTTTGGGCTCTAAATTCCTCAATTATCTGAATGTCCACTTCATTTCCTAGATTTGGAAAGATTCTCTAGATTTCTACAATTATTTGGTGAATAATTTTTTATACCTTTAGTATTTTTCTCTAGTCCTTCCTTGTCTCCTATAATTCTTAGCTTAGTTCTTTTATAATCATTTAAGAGCTCTTGAA